TCATGACTAATCTTGCCCTCTGATCCCACGTGGTTTATTTCTACATTTCACACTACGTTTAAACAATCCCCGACTTTGTACTACGGAGAACCCCACTCCTAATCCCGAGTAACGCAACCCAAAGCTGTAAGCAAATAGTAGCTTGATTTTATCAATAGCGTCTTAGTTTTTTTTTTTATGATCTCTCTGCAAACACGGCCCCCATAGGAGTTAAGCATAATCAGATGTTGAGAACGAGAAACTCTTGAGTAAACTGTCCTTCCCATAATGCATCTCTCGGAAATCTTCTGGGCAGTTTTTTGACTCATTTCATGTTGCAGAGGCCACACCTACAAAGGAAGCTTTGATTGATAGAGAGAGAAATATTTATCTCTGTATAATTTATATAGATATAATTATACAGCCAAGATGACACTGTGGTTAGAATGCAGTATTGCAGGATGACTCTGCCCACAGCCCGGAGTTCGATTCTGACCGGCTCAAGGTTGACTCAGCCTTCCATCCTTCCGAGGTGGGTAAAACGAGGACTCGGATTGTTGGAGGCAAGAGACTGGCTCTGTAAACCACTTAGAGAGGGCTGTGAAGCACTGTGAGGCGGTATATAAGTCTTAAGTGCTACTGCTATTGTCGTTCCTTCCTTCCTTCCTTCCTTCCTTCCTTCCTTCCTTCCTTCCTTCCCTCCCTCCCTCCCTCCCTCCCTCCCTCCCTCCCTCCCTGTCAATGTTCTTCCTTTTCTCTTTCCTTCCTTTGTTCCTTCCTTCCCTCCTTTCCTCCCTCCCTCCGTGTGCAGTGGTTAGAATACAGCATGGCAGGTAAACTCTGCCCACTGCCAGCAGTTTGACCCTAACCAGCTCAAGGTTGACTCACTCTTTCCATCCTTCTGAGGACCCATATTGTTGGAGGCAACAGGCTGACTCTGTAAACCACTTAAGAAACAGCTGTAAAGAACTGTAAAGCAGTATATAAGTTCTGTAAACCTCTTAGAGAGGGCTGCAAAACGCTATGGAGCAGTATATAAGTCTAAGTGCTATTGCTATTTAAGTCTATAAGTCTAAGTGCTATTGCTATTTATACAGAATACAGAATAACAGAGTTGGAAGAACCTTAGAGATCTTCTAGTACAACCTAACCAAGGAGAGAAGCAACATAGAACTAAGGAGAAGCAATCAACCAATGGAACTCCATCACTGGCAGTCTATGGAGACTCTCAGTCATCCAAGCCATGGTTGCCCCAAAGGTGCTTTTTTTAAAAGAGGCAACTGGACTCTTCTGGGTCCATCACTGGAGGTTCTCAAAAAGAGATTGGACAATTATTTATCTGAACTGGTATAAGGTCTCCTGCTCAAGCGGTGGGTTTGTGATGACCCAAAGGGGCATGGCACAAAGGCAACACAGTCAGATAATCAGTAGGAATCCCTTTGTTTGCTCCCACATTGCCCCCAATGTCCTGGTTACCTTCTGGGCTGGAGAAAAACTCTCCCAGGAACAGCCTTGGGCTGCAGAGAATCAAGTCCAAAACGTGGTCAACAAAAACTGTAACTATAAGTCCAATCAAGGCAAGATGAGGTCATTAGTCTGGCAGGGCAGGAGAAGGAATTCCAGACGTGAAGGAACAGTAGTAATTTAACACAGTTGGGAGGATGCCAGCAATGCAGATAACCAAAGTCAACACAAGATAAACTCATGTTTGTTCCCAGCAGACATCACACTCAGCATGCATTTCTTTTAAACTCCCTTCCCAGGTGTGGCTAATGAAGGGAATCAGGGCCCTTTCCTCCCCCGTAGGCCATGCAACCCACGTTGCTCCCTTCTCTTTTCCTCCCTGTGTGCCCTAAGATGAAGAGGGGGTGGGCCTGGATCTTCCTCTGAACTCCCTCTCCCTTGTTCTACCTCTTCCCTGCTCTGCCCACCCAGATTTTGCCCTTCCCCAGTTTCCTCCACAGCCAACGGAGCCACACTCCTACTCCCTGTCAGCTGTTCGTTTTCCTCCTCCTCGGATTCAGACTCCGACAGGGACATGACAAGGTTGGATTAGAAAACCTCCCAGGTCCCTTCCAACTCTATTATTCTATGTTCTAACAACCTCCTGATCAAACAGGAGACCTGTACCATTCTGTCCAACCTCCTTTTGAAAACCTCCAGTGATGGGGCACCCATAACTTCTGCAGGCAAGTCGCTCCACTGATTCATTATTCTCGCTGATCGGAAATCTCTCCTTAATTCTAGGTTGGATCTCTCTTTGATAAGCTTCCATCCCTTACTTCTTGTCCTAATCTTTGATGCTTTGGAGGATAGGTGGACTCCGTTCTTCTCTGAGGTAGCTACCCAAAGATTAGTTTGTTTCCTGGTTCACAGAAAGCCGCCAAGGAAAACACTTTCTATCGGGGGTTGGCCTTGCTTGTTGCCAAGGGCTTTTGACCAGAGTTTCCATGGGACCCACCTCTGTTTCCATTTAAATGGGCCCAGGATCTAAAGAATCGGATTCATTTCAAGAGGGGAAAACCTTCTCCATCATTTTTCAGCATCGTAACAGTGGCTTATCTCTGATGTGCATGCACACACACACACACACACAATCTGGTGTGTGTCCACTCGCCGTTTCCATGGATTTAGCAAAGGATGCTTTCGTGCGCTGCTCATTCAAGAGCTGGAAAAACACAACCAGGAGGCCCAAAACGCTTTATATATACATAACTAGGTGGATAGCCATGCTTCACTACGAAACTATGTGGCCGGGCTTAGTTTTGGGGAGGGAAATAAGGGGGGGAGGGAAAAATCTGCCTCTGCCTACCAGCATCCATCAGTATTTATCTGGCTAGCGTCCTGTCAGTGTGTGAGAGGGTTGAGGGCTGTTTGGAAATGGAAAGAGTATTTGCTGTGTGAGCAAGAAGGAGACAGCAAGGAGCCTGGGCGTGGCTTAGCTCAACTGTTCTGTACTCAAGCTGCTTGGTGCTGTGAAACTGAAACTGAACCTCCTCTCCTCTGCTTGTGTTTTGCATTTGGAACAGATTTCTTTTCAGGTGGGGAGGGGGAGTAGAACTCCTTAGCATCAGAGCGTGTTAATAATAATAATAATATAGGAAATACTAAATGCTCTGATGGTCATTTTGCAAAATCCTTTCTTAGTGAGCACCAAGAAGCCAAGAGGAATATATGTACCAAATTTCAAATGTGTAGGCTTTATGGTTCTGGAGATTTTGTGATGATGTGTGAGTGATATTTCACTTTTACAGAGAGGAGGGGGTCAAGCTATTCCCCAAAGCACCTGAGGGCAGGACAAGAGGCACCGGATGGAAACTAATCAAGGAGAGAAGCAACCTAGAACTAACGAGGAATTCTTTCACAGTGAGACCAATTAATCAGAGGAACGACTTTCCTCCAGAAGTTGTAAATGCTCCAACACTGGAGGTTTTTAAAAAGATGTTGGATAACTATTTGTCTGAAGTGGTGTAGGGTTTCCTGCTTAGGCAGGGGGTTGGGCTAGAAGACCTCCAAGGTCCCTTCCAACTCTCTCGTTTTATTCTATTCTAAAGAACAAATTGATCAATTGCAAAAGGCAGTTTTTCAGAGAGTCCTCAACTTACGGCCATACATTTCTGTTGTGAAGTGAAACATTTGTTCAGTTTTGCCTGTTTTTATGATATTTAGGACCGTCGCAATAGTCCCAGGATTATGTGATCCACCTTTGGTGACCTTCAAACAAGCAAGTGTCAGCTTTAAAATTCAGCTGCCAATTTTTTTTTTTTTTGAGAGTTGGAGGAGTTGAAAAGTTCAAGGTTATTCCGTATGTCGTATTAAGTAATTCCAGTGGCAGTTAATTGGTTCTCGTGATTTATGAAGTGTAGAAGCGGGAGGAGAGAAGGGAGGAGAGAAGGTGGATTCTATGTAAGGCACGAAAATAATTTCACTTGGGAAATTGCCTTTGACATGCCAGATCTGTTCCTAATAAATTCAACCTTGGAGAGAGACGTCTCGGAGTGATTTATATCATGGATACTTTCTGGGATGCCTTACACAAAGTCAACGGGGAACCTGGATTCACTCAACGCCCATGGCTGCTCACTGAACGACGGCAGGGATTCCCTTAACCGCCGTGGCCAGTAAGGTCGTAAAATGGGGCATAATGTCAGGGCTCAGGCAGTTTCCCCCATTTTAATCATGAGTCTCTAGCTGGATTTTCAAAGCTTAAAGAAGATTTATTAGGCGGACACATGCCAGCACTGCCTGGGTGTAGCCGACTCTGAGACATTTCATTGTCACCCTTGAGCCTGGTTTCCCCCCCACCCCTCTGGTTGTGTCATAAGTCATATTCTCCAATGAGACACATCCATAGCCCAGAGTCATCAATCGTGCTCTCCAGTTAGAGTTTTGCATGGCAGAAACTTCAGTCACCTAGTTACTATCTCTGAACAACGATTTATGGAATGCACTTTCGATTTCCAAGCTGCCACCCTGCTCTTTCAAACCCCTTTCCCCCCCTCCCTTTCTGTTGGCAACTCTAAAAAGACCATAGAAATATTTTATGAGTTGACACAAAATTCATGGAATCAGGGAAAGGAGGGGCTCGCCTGTGGTCATACATTGAGGAAGAAGATTTATTTGGAGAAGACATGCCGGTACTGCCTGGATGTAGCCGAGTCTGAGACACATCATTCATTGTCACCCTTGACCCTGGTTTTCCCCCACCCATCTGAGTGTATCCTAATTCATATTCTCCAATGGGACACATCCATAGCCAAGAATCATCGATCATGTTCTCCAGTTAGATATTTGCACAGCAGAAACTTCAGTCGCCTGGAAACTATCTATGAAAACATTTATGGAATGCAGTTTCCATTTTGCAAGCTGCTACACTGCTCCCCTCTCCTTTTCTGTTGGCAACTCTAAAAACACCATAGAAATATTTAATGAGTTGACACAAAATTCACGGAACAAGGGAAAGGAGGGTCTCTCCTGTGGTCCTTAAGTCAAGGACTCCCTGCGTTTCCTCCCAACCTGATGGCGAAGTTGCTCTCGGCGGAGAAAGTTTGCTTTTGAACTTTGTCGGTGTGCTTGTAATTGGCCTCGAACCCTCACCCGCGGTGTTGTTTTCTTCCCTCAAGGTCTGGCACCAGTGATCCCTATTGTATCATCAAAGTAGACAATGAAATCGTGGCAAGGTAAGTGCAAGGTGAAGGCGTGGCGTTTTGGCAGCCGCTCCGTTCTCCCTTTCCCAGCAGGAAGTGTTGAGCCAGGACTGAAGAGCATGAAATGGGATTTGTGTGTTGCTGTTGGAAGGAGGTGTGTGTGTGTCGAGGGCTTAAAGGAGAGGGGGGGGGGGGAAATCTTATGATTTGCCTTCGAAAACAACATTCTACCAAAGATGAGACTTCTTGGTAAACCTTGCGTTAGTCCAAGAAAAAGATCAGGAGAGACTCTGTGTGTGTGTGTGTGTGTGTGTGTGGTTTTCACAAGAAGTCACAACGCCATGATTGTACAAATGGGGTGGGTGTAATAAATATCAGACTGATGGATAGAAAGGGATATTTATGGCTCAGGGTTGAACAGTGGTGCTCTCTGAGCTTGGTCATTTTCTTGCAGACGTTTCATTGCCCAACTAGGTAATATCAGCAGTGCTAGAAGGGAGTGGGGTTTGTAGGAGGGAGGAGGAAGAGGATATAGGAGTTGGAAAGGGAGTTGGAAAGGGAGCTTGGAGGTCTTCTAGTCCAACCCCCTGCAGGAAACCCTACACCACTTTAGACAAATGGTTATCCAACATCTTTTTAAAAACTTCCAGTGTTGGAGCATCCACAACTTCTGGAGGCAAATTGTTCCACTGATTTATTATTCCAACTATCAGGAAATTTCTCCTTAGTTCTAGGTTGCTTCTTGATTAGTTTCCATCCAGGAGGAGGAGGAGGAGGAGGAGGACTGTGGGGTCTTTGGTGTTTTCTGAGTTTGGTTGTTTTGTTGGAGACAAAATTACCCAGCTTGGATAGCATCATCAATTGTAGAAGGGAATGGGATTTGTGGAGAGAAGGAGGGGGAGAAGGAGAAGAAGAAGTACTTAGTACTACTCTCTGAGCTTGTCATATTCTTGCAGATATTTCATTGCCCAACTAGGTAATATTTTCAGTGCTAGAAAAGAGTGGGGTTCCCCCCCACGCCCCCCATTTTATATACTAAAGCAAACCCCACTTTTTTTTTTTACTGGGGTTTGCTTTAGAATGTAGGTAACACTGATGCTGTTACCTAGTTAGGTAATGAAATGTTCGCAAGAAAACCACCAAGGTCAGAGTGCACCAAAGACCCCTCTATCAATGTTTATTTGACATTCCTGGCTCTTTCAAAAATGTAATTGCATTAGTGCTAGAGATTCCATATGGATACCTCTGTCTGTAACCAGCAGGTTCTGCCTTGTTTGGCTTTTTGTTATATCTTTTTTTTTTTAAAAAATCTTGCAAATGAAGGGGAAGAAAAGGAATTGCCTCTATTTCTAAGAATGCTGTCTAGGAGAACCCGTACTTTAAGAAAATAAAGATGGAACTGACTGTTTCCCAGTGTTTTTCCTGGAAAAGTGCTCATGTTTCCAGGGGGAAAAAAATAAATAAAGACGAGAGAAGCCAGGATGCTACAAAGCATCTTTTTAGCTTTGCAACTGACAATGTTCCCTGTAGCAGCTGGTTTGCAAATAGTAGATATTGTTGTTGTTGTTGTTATGGTCGATTGCACGGATTGCCAGATGTTTAGACTGGATTTGGTCTTTTGGCCCACCTATCCAGTCCTTTCCAAGGACCTTGGAGAGAGGCAGATGTTGCCAGTTGATGGTGTTAAAATTCTTGTTGCGAGCTGTTCCGAGCAACACTGCCTCTTTGCAGTGGATCAGAGGAGATTTTGTCAATGCCAACGGTGATCAAAGTGGATTAAATTTGACATTTTTATTTATCTATTGACCTCTTCTCAAGGACCTGGGGTAGGCAGATCCTGTTGCTGCTCTTATTATGAATGTAGTTGTTAGTCACAAAATGTGCTCATTGGTCCCCAAAGAGGTTTATCCCGAGATTGTTCCTAGGAGGCTGTTTATCAATAATAAGAATGTGAAGGTGGAAGTGAGCTATCGGTGTAAAGTAATTGGGGAGAAAATTATGAGTTGGGTAGATAAAATAACAAGTTGATAGATGACAGGTAGGTAGGTAGGTAGGTAGGTAGGTAGGTAGATAGATAGATAGATAGATAGATAGATAGATAGATAGATAGATAGAGATGATAGATAAAAAGATAGAGGATAGATAGAGGATAGGTAGGTAGATAGGTAAATAGATAGATGGATAGGTAGATATATAGATGAGAGATAGATTAGATAGATAAAAAGATAGATGGATAGATGGATGGATGGATGGATGGATGGATGGATAGATGATAGGTAGGTAGGTAGATGAGAGATAGATTAGATAGAGATGATAGATAGATAGACAGACAGGCAGACAAAGAGAGAGAGAGAGAGAGGTGATAGACAAATAAGTGATAGATGATAAATACCATAGATGAGATAGATAGATAATAGGTAGGTGGGTAGGTAGGTAGATAGATGAGAGATAGATAGAGATGATAGATAGACGATAGATAGATGATAGATAGATATAGATGGATGTATGGATAAATAGATAATTGGAGAGAAATATGAAAGATAAAGGTAGGATAGGTAAATAGACAGACATAGATGTATGTCTGTATATACGTATTTGTGTGAATACCCAAACTATTATATATATATATATATGTGTGTGTGTATACATATACACATATACACACACAGGGAGTATATGTAAACATATATGTGTGCGTGATAAAATCTGTGTAATGTATGCATGTGTGTGTGTGTGTGTGTGTGTTAGAAAACAATTCTAGAAAAGAAGGTTTTTAAACTTGGATTGAAGCCAGTAAATGTCCTAAAAGAGCTCTGGTCAGCCTCTCTTGCATTTGTTTTAATGTTATGTGTAAAGAAAGATTTCGAAAGGCAACATAATAAAGGTGATTGATAGATTGGCTGATTTGCTTCACTCCCTGCAAAACAAAGCCATCTTCTGTGCAAAAATGTTAGAAAAAGCATATTTTGTGTCTATGTTTTCGTGCCTGGCTGGGCTGAACATTTGCTATTTTTCTATCGTTTTCCACCTGTCCATAACTATTTGTCCAGAATTAAGAAAGCAAAATACTGCAGCTGTTCAAAGCTTTATCCTCCCAGAATGGCACAGAAAGAAACCTTGATCATTCAATGTGGGCAATTTAATTCATTAAACCAAATCAAAGAATGCATTAAGAGTAGAGTAGAGTAGAGTAGAGTAGAGTAGAGTGGAGTGGAGTGGAGTGGAGTGGAGTAGAGTAGAGTTGTGGAGTGGAGTGGAGTGGAGTGGAATGGAATAGAATAGAATAGAATAGAATAGAATAGAATAGAATAGAATAGAATAGAATAGAATAGAATAGAATAGTCCCTTCTCATTGCTTGTTAATTTGATAACTGATTATCAAATCAGTTTTAAAAGAGATGCTTTTGAAGTTTTGGAGAAGAATGGTAGCATTCTTCTCCCAGGGAAAACACCTTGAAGACTTCAAGAGTTTTCGCAGAGAACTATTCTCACAATTCCGTTTAATTTTCGTCCAAGCCCTTGCCCTCCCTTCTATTCCCCCTCCCCAGGGTTCATGGCAGACTGGCATTGTGGTAGCCGTTCTGACACTTTAAGCAAGTCAAGAGGCTTCCTTCCTTTTCTTTTGTCCTTCAGGACAGCCACGGTTTGGAAGAATCTCAACCCCTTCTGGGGGGAAGAATACACCTTGCACCTTCCCATGGGGTTCCACAACCTCTCTTTCTGTATCTTGGATGAAGACACCATTGGGTGAGTAGAATGCAAGAAACAGGAAAGAAAGAAAGAAAGAAAGAAAGAAAGAAAGAAAGAAAGAAAGAA